TGTGGTGTTGTTGCTGAATGCAGACAAGTTGACTATCGTCCTCGATTCGTGGCGGCATTCAATGCGGCTGGAAAATGCAGGGGAAAACTGGGGGGGAAAGCGAAAAATTGGGACCTTTTCCTACTTATTATGCCGCCGCATGTTTCTCTATGTTTGCTCTTTTGCGGAATTATCGATTACAAATGAATATTTCATCAGGGGAAAGGGGCCTGGAAAGAGTGGAGAAATGGTGTAAAGGAGCAAGGTGCCCGGCACCTGTCGCCTGCAAAAGTTCCGTTTCCGGGTCGCGACACCCGAGTGCTATTTTCAATTAAAATGCAGCATACTTTTCAAGCATTTTTCAGCACACAAAAAAAATGTGTAAAGAATAAATACTAAAATATATGAAACCAATTTTGGTTGTTCAAGTGAGATATTTGCATAAAATAAATTATTGTGAACGCTAAGAAAAGGCGTTAATTTATTCCAAATCAGTTTGACTCATTGTAAGGTTACAAGGTTTACCAAGGTTTTTTTCCGTGTGACTTGCAAATTCCTTCCTATTTCTTTTCCTATTTTCGCTCCGCCTCTTTAAACTGCTGTTTAATGTATGTCCCCACTTCTGTTTTGTGTCGCATAATTACCAATGCCAGGATAATTAAGGCAGCGCCTGGCTGCCAGGCCACACATAAAAAGGACAACGAGTCCCGAATGCGGGTCCTGGCTCCAGGGACTTCCCTTTGGAATGGGCATGGAAGTGGGTGGACATGGGCGGTAAGGTGGTTCAGTGGTGCGAGCACGTGACTAACGGTAATGGCACGCCAAATCACAGGAGAAATGAAATGTTTGCCGGGCGGGAGTGTTCGGAATTTCAAATGCGAATAGAAGAAAGAGGAAGTGGATTTTACAGTTGAATTTCCTTATTATAATATATTGTGCTTAAAATGAAAAACCCCTTATGTGTTATATTCAATTTAGTTTACAATAATTTGGTAAAACATGATGAATGTAATGGTTTGGAAAACTGCATATAGTACTAAACTATTTAATATATATTTTACCAACAAAATCCAACTTAGTTCTTACAAAAATTTGTTTAAATTATCAGCTTTCTGCTATAAATAAAGCATTTAAGCCATTTAATGCAAAACCATGCCTTCCCCAGCTTAAATTTCAATTAGAAGGCGTTCAGGGCATGGAAAAAGGATTCCCCTTCTAGTGGCAGCTCATGATCCTCTTATGCGAAACTCTTGCCCGAACTCCACTTCAGTTTTGCCGCCGATTTACCCCCCGTCCACAAAGCTTGAGCAGAAAGTGATTAAGGCTCACGTTCCGGGATTACGTAAGCTCCTACAGGGATACTTAGCCATCTGGGCCGCAGCGTTTACACATATATGTGTTTTGTGTTTTGTGTGTGTTTGTGTGCGAGTGTCTGTTGAGCATATCATGTGTTTATGCGATTCCTAAAGCGAACACCCCCTCATCCCCGCTTTGCCAGTAAAACCATTTTTACCTGGGCTTTTCGGGGCGTCCCCTGACACGTGAGCTCCATAAAAAAGGCAAGAAGGCCTCGTCATTTCATGGACGTTGCAGCACGCGAGGGGTCCTCCAACCCCAGCCCGTTCTACTAAGCTCCCACCCCCTAGTTTTCACCCCTCCCCCCCGTCAACGTTTTCACTTTTGTTCGGATTTTCATTCCTCGCTTTTCCCCGCTGCGTAAACACAGCTATTAAATGCGAACTGACCCCAAACGCTGACCGACTCGCCAGCTAGCTATCAACTACAGTACAAATTCAGTAAAACAATTATTCCTAAGCTATTGTTTATAAACTGATTAATATTAGCTTGCTTAATAACAACACAAATATGTAATATTGATTAAATAAATATTTCCTAACCAAAAATAAATAATAAGGTTAACTAAAAAATGTGAAAATTGAAAGGTAATTTACTGAAGATTTTGTTTTACCAAATTTTTGATAAATTAAAGTATCTATTATGTAAAAATGAAATGATATAAACCATTACCTATTAGAGGTCTCAATATTATACAGACTCCAGAATTTCAAATTTTTACTGCAGCAATTAAATTTAAATTTAAAAGCTTGGCTGTATTTAATTATCCCTAAGCCGTGTCCCAATTGGTAGTAAACGGGCGGTGCAACAACCTCGTTTCGTTGGCAGCAACGACCTTGAACCAGTTTTATTTTTAAAAAAATTTCCAGCAAAAGGGAAAAGTCAAGGGGGCGAACTAGAAAGGGAGAAGCATTAGAAGACTTTGCCAACTTAGAACTTTTGCAAATATCTCGGCATATTAATAAGGCTTAAAGCGTCTAACGGCCATTTAATCGCAGCCACATACGCACACCGAGAATCCACATGTGTGGGTGGGATAAAATGAGGTTCTATGACAGCAAACTAAAAATAAACAAATGAGCCAAGCCAAAAACACGGGAAAAAATAGAAAGAACGAGTTGAGGCTGCCGAAAAGCGCCTGCGTGGAGAGGAAAACAGAGGGGGGAATTAAAATGGAAAAACTGGCGGAGAGCGGAAAAACGAGAGAGCCACCAAAGTTTTTGTTGTGGCTGCCGAAGGATTTCAAGGAAGTGAAATAGCTGCAGACTGAATTTTTCACAGACAAAGTTTCCTATCTGCTTCCTCTTCCTCGGACTCCTCCTCTTCTTCTCGGAGGATTTTCCTAGCTGTCACTTCCTGTGTATCAGTGTGTGTGTGAGAGCGTGCCAGTGTAAGTTTTAAAACACTTTGAGTTCAAAAGTGATTTTTCAAGACTACATCTTATTTAAATGTTTTCAAAAAAAATTATTAAAGAGACCACAAACCATACAATTAATATTCCTACTTACATAATAAGTTATACAGTTTGTAAATATTTTATAAACGTACAAAAAAATTGGATTATTATTGGACATAAAGTATTCACCAACTTTCAATTATAATAAGCACGTTTGCAAGTAAAAGTTCAGTGAACTAATAAACTACTACCCAATAATAAGTAGGTACGCTTAATTATAGGTAAAACCTATTAGGGTTCTCATTTCTCATTTGAAATAAGTGCCCCTTATTATTGGTCCTCATAAATCGAAGTGCTAATTACTTCGAATAATTTAATATCAATTTTTGGGTAAATTAGTTGGCAATTTTTATATAATGAAAAACCGGTCACAATACCCATAAAGAAATACAAATTGAAGTTGGTCGAAATATTCAAATATCTTTCAAAAATCTTATGAATCCCACTAGTTGACAAAAATTTTATTAAAATAGTAATCTCTAAATGTATTTTTAATTTAGCAGTGAACTTGGTTCAATTGAACCAATTCAGATGGTGAACCTTGCACCAACACAAGCAGACTGACACACACACAAATGTTCTTGGCTAGTCTGCTCTCATAGTATCCTTTTTCTATGGCTGTGTGTGTGTGTGTATGGCCTAAAGTGTTATATTGACATTTGGCTACATAATGATTTATGCTGCTGCAGGAGCCCAGCGATCCTTGCTCCTTGTAATTCCTGCTGCTATTTTTAGGGGCATGCCCATAATTTATTTTTATGTACAAACATCAGCGGCAACAACAACAGGAAGGAGGCAACTATATCACACGCACACACTCACAACCAGAGATATACTTTATGGGCAAGCGAAGGGCAAACGCTGGAAAGCATGCTACGATTTTTTTGTGGGAGTTGGATGGTTAATTCGGTGGGACGGTATTGGTGTGTTCGTGTATACAACTAGTTAAATAAATTTACACTTGACCCACCTTTTATTTCCCAGGTATATGTATTTCTGTATAGTTTTCTCCTCCAAATGCGCGGCACGTTTTTATTTTCTTTTATTTTTTGGCCAGCAAAAATCTTTTGAAAATTGCCTGTTTTTTATGTGTGCACATGAGTGTGTATGATGTTGTTGGTATTGGTGTGTGTGGGTGGTGGGGGGTGGTGATGATGTTTCTTCCTCTTCTGCCCAACTTAATGTCAGTTCATTCATGGGCCAAAATCTGGTTTCAGTTTTCCTTTCGACTGTGTGTGTGTGAAACGGGAAGCTGGCATTTTATTCGTGATTTCCTGGGTTTATTTTCGTTTCGAATTTTTGGTTTTAGTTTTCCTTAAGCATTTTGCACTATTTTTTAACGCACCTTTTGTTTTGTGTTGCTATATGTATTTTTCCGTTTTTTATTTAACACGCGCAGCAAAACAATTTTCATTTTCACACACTCGCACGAAAATCATTACTCAGTATGCACGGCTTTCCACGGGCTTTTCATTTGCCAACCACCGCGCCCCTCGCCCTACCATTTGGGCCATGCTGCCTTTACTGCCGTTTCTACTGCCTTTCAACATTTGCTAAAACACTCACACAGTCGCACGTCGGAGATAATATTGGGGCGATTGGGGGGCGTGGCTGGTCGGGGGGCGCTTGAATGCAAAGCAGCAGAACGGACGTCGAAAGAACGCGACACCAACACAGAAGTGAGAGCAGGGAAAGTCCGGAAAAGCCGACGAACCGACAGAGTCGAAAGCCAGCAAACGACTGAGCCTGAAAAGCCAAAAAAATGAATTCGTGAGCGGAGAAAGGAGAGAAAGTGACTGAGCGTGAGAGACTGCGTGCACATCCTTTGCAGAGGCGACAAAAGTTCACGGAACTGGCTCAGAGAGTCACTAATACTCACAAAACAGGTGAGAGAATGCACGCAGAAAAATGTCTAGTTGATGCCCATACTTTCAATTTGTTAAATTTATTATACTCGAAATATTTGAGAGGCAGGAATAAGGACATTTTATATAAAGGTTTATTATCTTTACAATATTTACGCAACTAATGATGATTCGATTTTAAAGCTTTGTTTTGTTTTGATAACGTCGGTAATTTCGTATCAGTTTTTATTGCAGTGCAAATGAAGAGCGACCGCCTTCGATTTGCTGATAAGCCGCTCAATAAAGCGAAGCCAATTATGAAGCTTCGTCTACAATGATCAGTTGAGTCGGAAACATTGGGAGAATCGAACGTGTGAGCTGCTCGAAAAAAACAAAGACAGATCAAAGAATCGGAGGTGTACATACTATATAGTGCAGCTATACTAAATATAACTTAGAAATCAATTTCTTTCTATTGCTTTCTGTGAATCAGACAAAATGGAAAGGTAACGTTATTCAGATTTTTAGTGGTCAACAAAAAAAATAAGTTTCCTTACTACTAACTGTGCATTCTATAGTTTCTGGCAGGAATTGAAATCGCTGCTGAAGACCCTGCTCTGCTTTGTGATCGCTGTGATGCTAGTGCCTATATTGCTGTTATCGTTCCTCTGTAAGTGTTCGAAATATCCCCAGCAGTGATCGATAATCACCGATCCGCGACACGCGCTGCCCCACTGATAAGCCACATAAATCACTAACTTCAAAAGGGGCCGGCTATATAAATAAACGATCCATGGGTTGATTAACCGTTTCGCAGTCAGCCAAAGGATCGGCCATTAATGGAGAACCATGAGATTGATGGGATTCTGGGAGAGAAAGCGCGAGAGTACGAGAGAAAGTGCTAGAGATAAGCTTTTTGTTTATAAATAATACAGATTACCTGTTGCACCTTTGCGGAACCCAGACAAGCGGACCAGCGAACCTTGACCAACTGAATTACTCATAAAAATGGGCAGTGATAAGGCCAGTCTTTGCCTCTTGATACCCGGTAATCGCTGGGAATGATGGCATATTTCTGTGGGGAAGACTGGTGGATTGATTAATTTAATCAGCCCAAAGGCAAACATTTTGGGGCCCCCAAAAAAAAGTCATCAAAATCAAATTTTTTAATCTCAGGGTAGTAAGACATTGAGCGTATACGTAATTTGTACTTACTTAGCAGAATGTTCCCGGAATTGGTATACAGAAAGTGTATAAAGATTAAATCTCATTCATGTTTTATTTACTTTAATTTTCAAAGGTATATAATATTCGGGAATTCCTCTAATAATATTTTTTTTATTTTGTTTTCATTTCCTAAATTGCAGCATTTATTGGGGTGTTTTTGACAGCGAGATTTTAGAAGTCCACTTTAGTTAACACGCAAATAAAATCAATTCAACATGAATTAACATTTAATGTTTTCAGGCGCTCACTTTACCAACGAACTATCCAATTATGTACTGAGCATCAAGTACCCGAATCTCACTATCTCAAAGTCCAAGAAGATCCGGACTTTAATCGACACGCCGAAGAACGCGGGTGTATTTCACTTTCTGCTCCAAGTGGAGGGAAATTGCGACTTCGAGAGGATCAAGATGTCCTATTCCCAAAATCTGACTGATCTGAGGGATAAGACTGGGTTGCTGAGGTTTCCCAAACTGCGTCAGAAACTCGTCACTTGTTGGGGGCATTATGCGTGGGTAAATGATAGTAGGTAAGTGATACAGTTAAACAACACATGTTTATATATTAATTTGACAACTTGGATTTCTCTGAAGTGGCTTCAATATCAACAATCACGTCCTACTGAGCACCCACAAATACCGAGGACGCCCAGTCAACGAATCGAATATTCAGGATTATGTCAGTGAACTGGCCACCAAGTATATTCCCTCGGATCTTCCCCAGTGGCAGGTTATTGTGATCCCAAACTCCGATACCTCTCAACCCTATTATATTCTCATCAAATTGCATCACCTGATAATTGCTGAGGAGGAGGATCTGCATGTGAGTGAGATGCTGCTGCTCCAGGAGCCGCAAAAGAAAACCTTAATGACTCTAAACGACGGATTGGGTCAGAGTTCCAATCAACAACTGTCTCACTTTGTACGAAAACCCGAACACATCAGCCGACTGATAAATCACATAATTCATTTGGTCATCTGCCGCTGGCAGAAATTCATCTACGAATTTGAATCTCTGGAAACTCCCGATGGCTCTTCGTCTAGTGTGCAAGTGAGAAACCTCAGTCAGTTGGCTTCCTTGGTGGTAATTGTCCTGGTAAACGTGATTTTGGGTTACATTCGTAGTCGTTCCATGCTCAAGAAACTCAAAAGGCGTTCGGTAAGCTATCGAAATGAAGTCGGTCGTTTTCAAACAATACGATTGCTTTTAAATCGTGAACTAGAACAGAGGAATCTCAGTTGGTGGGTGGCCAGAAATGCCATCTATAACAGTTTGCAGCCAACCAATTTGGCCAAGGTGTGGACCCGATTCCTTTGGCGCCTAAATCTAAATCATGTTTTACTCTTACCCTACCACGTTTACTGTGAATTTTTCGCTTTCGGCGATGTCTTGATTAAGGGACATACTTCCTATACTTCAACCTATTGTGCCAGACTTCATTTATACGTACCCCTCTTGCTTTACGCCCAATTGGAGTTTTTCAAAATTCTCTGGGAGCTTTTCCAGGCTCCAAGGAACATTTACGAAGTCCTTATTGAGCAGCCCACAAAGGAGTTGAATATTCTGCATAAAAAATCATATGCAGGCAGAAAAATTGTCTCCTTTGGAAGATCATTAAGTGGCGTTCAACTTAGGACTCGAAACCAGGGTAAATTTAGCAACGATCTCAGAGAATCCGATTTCAGTTTAACCTGCCTAGCAGGAGCTGTTCACGATTATTTCGAAACATTTTCAGGAGATCTAAAAGTCCCCAATTTCTTAAACACCACTTGCAGAACCATTGATAAAGGATACTTTACAGATCGCAGTGGGGATAAAACTGAAAATATCGGCGGGGTTGTGTTTCTGCAGTTGCCATTAAGAAAGCCCGACGCAGACCATGCCAAGGAACTTCATCAGATAGTTGAAAGAATCAGAAAGCAACAGATTATGATATATCTAGCATCGATTGGACAAACGAAACACAGTCTTCTTACTTGCCTTCTACCTCATGTAATCACGAAAATCTTTATAAACTTTTTCTCGTACAACTTCCCCATCACAATTACTGAGATTTATGGAGCCACTGACGAGTTTCAATCTGCCTGGGGTCAGAAAGTGCAGGATGTCCTACTATTCCGTCCTCCGCAGTCAAAGACCTGTCTTTCCTTAAATCTGCATCGCTTTGGGGACAAATATAGATTGGCTGTAATGGCGGATACACATTTGGCACCGGATCACACAATAATCACGAGATCCTTTGAACGATATATGGAAACAGTTACTCTTTAAAAAAACATCTTTATTTTTTGGGAAAAGAAATCTACATGAATAATGTGTACGAAATAAAATTTATTTATCCAGCGGGTTTGCTTAAAAAATTTCGTTCGTTTTCATTCTGGGATATAGGTGTCAGATGGAAACATTACTAAATAAACTACCAGCGATTCAATAGATTACTTAATTCTACGCTCGATCGATGGATAGGGATAATAAATATCGTAAGGAGCTTCGTGAACATTTCTATGGGTCGAAATATCCATCGGTAAGATTTTAAAATAAAAACGTAAGCCTCATAAATGTACAATTAATTTTAATAGCCACTAAAAGAGAACAACAAGCATGGCCAATTTGGTCATAGGGAGGTCGATGGTCGTTTGCATGTGGAGAGGACAAGTCCAACCGAAACCATACCGCAGACTTGCAAAAGAACAATTCCAGTGGAAAAGCATCAGGCAAAACCTGAAAACCATTTTGATCATTTAAGATATCAACGTCAAGATCATCACTGCGCTATTAATTGTGGTCACCGAATTTTAGGTGTTCAAGATCCCCTATCCAATAAATATTGCCATGGTTACTGTCAGCAGTTAAATTATAATAAGGTAAAAATATTTTAACAACATATTTTTTTATTGCCACGTTTGTTTATTTAAAATGCTCAGCAGAGTCCTCGCCAGCTGACAAACTCGAGGGTTGTGAAGGAACCTAACAAACAATCTCCGCAGGCACCTGATTTTCAAATCCCTTTCAATGAGCAGGGCGGAGGTGATAGCTTTTTTTACAAAAACCCGACTTTTAAAGCGCCTCCATCTAGTGGAAGTGATCACGGAAGCGGCGAGGGAGGAGAGAAGAAAGTCAAAGCTCGATGTATCCATGTACCTCATAAGAAAGAGCCCTATAACTACCTTGAAGCAGTCAAGGCTCAGTGTGAGGCTGTAGGAAATCGATTCAAGCAACAGTATCCGCTTTCTGGCAACGATCTATCCTCCAGAGATTCGAAATCGAAAGCCTTCCAAACAACCGTGATTAGTTCTAAGAGTGGTGACGATCTCAGAGCAGCAGTTCGATCGCAAATTGAACTCCAAGAGGCTTTGGATGAATTTGATGTAGAAGTAAAGGTTAAAAAGGAGCAGATTTTATCTGGTGGAAAAAATAAGCCGAAAAAGAGCCTAGATTCTAAACCAAATTCTCATCCTGAAGAAGAAGACGCAATTCCCGCAGAACCCCTATCAACTAGAACGACTTCTGAGGACCTGGATATTATGGAAGTCGTTGACCTTGGTATCAGTGCTGATGATATCGTTTCCACCAAAGTAATTCAGCCTATTGTAAGGAAAATTCAGCGCATGTATCTGAACACTCTCAAGGAGGAAATGCAAATAATTGATTATTTGGGGAAGATGCCGAAATTAGTAAGCGATGTTTACAAGCGGGAGGCGGCTGAAAAGAAGCCAAAAAAGGCATAGAAATTGTGCATATATATATTTTTTACTTTATTAATTGTTTATACATTTGTTTGAAATAAAAACAATGTTAATAGGGAATAGGCTTTCTTTTACATTTAAATTTTTCGCGCCTTGATTTGAAATTTCGGGTATATTTTCAGTATTTAAATAGCATGTATTTATAATTATCAAAATTTGGATTCCAGCTTCTAAAATATTTTTATTTAGTTCTAAAGAATTAATTTTACGCAATTTTTGCTTGCATTCCTTAAATTAAGATTTAAATAATGTCGCCCAAAGAAATCAATTGAACAATAATATACCAAAAAAAACAATCGATAGAAGATGGGGAAATATCGATGTGACACTTTTTCCAACATCGATAGAGTCAAATAAAATCGATTTGTGTTCAGCTCTAGCTTCTAGAACAAAAAAAACGCGAATTCGCGAATTGATGAAAACGCCGCTGCGGAAATTCTGCTAGCCGAATGAAAATCCCCGCGGCGGAGAGTGCGGGTGAATTGCAAACGGGAAGCGAAAGATAAAAAAAACACGGCTAGCTGAGAGGCGTCACGTAGACGGCCGACTGATCGATATTCAACACAGGCGCAGGCAGCATACACGCACACGAGAGATTGTGTGAGCCACCACACACACATACACATGGAGAACACTCGAGGTGGGGAAAATAATGTAGAACTGGCCAACGGCAGTAAGGATTTGGCCAAGGAGTCAAAGGAGCAGATGGAAAATGCCGAAAAACTGGAAGGCAAAAGACTGGAAGAGCGGGAAACGCCTGGAAAGGGAGTAAACAACGAGGCGGCGGCTCTTTCAGTGGAAAACAACAACGCAAATGCCCGCGGAAATGCCATTCCAACAACTACAAGCGCAGAGGAGACGGCAACAAAAATAAATACCCCAGCAGAAGCAAAACCAACTACAACTGCAAACAGCAACACAAACAGCATACCCATACACCAGCTACAACAATTGCAGTCAGGCGGTGGGAATGCAAATAACACAACAAATGCAATAACAAAGCCAGCAGCAGCTAAAGAAGAAGAAGAAGCAGCAGCAGTAGTAGTACTAGCAAAACCGACAACTGCAGAGGCAGAAGCTACACCAACACCAACAACAACAAATGTCTTGGCAGAGACAACAATAACAACCACAAACTCGGACGAGAAGACAGGTAAAGTAAAACGAAATTCATAAAAAACAAACCCAATGCCAACTAATGTGATTTACAATGCCACCCACCACCCACAGAAGAGCGCAACCACAAGAAGAAGAAGAAAGATAAGGAGAAGGATGACGATAAGAATCGTCGCATCAGCAACAGCAGCAGCATTAGCAAGGATCGGGACAAGGAGAGAGATCGGGAGAGGGAACGGGAACGGGAGCGAGAAAGAGAAAGAGAACGAGACAGGAACCGCGAGAGCAGCTCCAAATCTTCCAAGGAGAGCGACTTCAAGTCCAGCTCATCGCGCAGCAAGGAGAAGAAGTATCATCGCAGTGATAGGGACAGGGAAAGGGAACGCGATCGGGAGAAGGTGAGATATGGGAAAGGCTACAGAAATTTAGAATGCAACCTGCCACGGTCAGAATAATTATACATAGCTATTCCATAAGATCTCCGATTTGCTCAATAATTTACTGAATAATTCTTAGTAGATTACAAAAGCATATCACAGTATTTTGTAGTATCCACCTTGAACTATTTCCAAGAGTGGAGAGCACATCCATATTTGTGTTTTCGTTTTAAGAAAACGATTAGCAAAATTATTGATAAAACTTTTCCTACAAAGTGTCGCTTGAACACCAAAGTGGTATACCAAGAACCACTTGTTTCATTTCCAAGAAAACACTGATAACGAGAGACGAGATCTTAAATATAGAGTCTCATTTCTGTTTATTTCTTGTTACATATATGTTAAACATTCTGACCGCAGTTGTTTACATAGAGCAAAGCAAACCGTTGCACTCAATAAAAAGAAGTTTGCACAGCTGTTCATCCATGTTTATGGTAAAACAAACTAGCATTTTAAACTTTTTCCTTTCTATCTTCACAGATAACCTCCTCGTCATCCAGTTCCTCCTCGCACTCGCATCGGCGCCGGAGTTCCGATAGTAGCCGGAGCAGCCAAAACAGCTCCACCAAGTCGAAGGACCCAGGGCAAGACCAGGTTTTGCCTCAGGCGGTGGCTGCCGCCCTCGAGCAGCAAATCAAAGTGGAGGAGACCATTAAAAAGGAACCAGTGGAAATTAAACTAGAAACGGAAGCAGAACCATCACCAGTACTTAGTAACCTCATCAAAACTGAAGCGGAAATCAAAACGGAATCGAAGGGAGAACCAGCCAAGCCATTGGTAAATGGCGACGCGGTAGGGAAAACCCGCGAGGAAGTCACCAGACAGCTAAACTTCGGAGACAAAAGCTCCAATTCCAAGCTAATGCCATCGCCGGCACCGAAGACTAGTTCTGGATCAAACTCTCTCAGCAATCATTCCTCCAGCCAGAGCAGCAGCAACCGCAAGCCGTACACGTCATCATCATCCTCTTCATCTTCCAGCAATCATCACAAGAGTTCCTCGTCGTCATCCTCACGCCACTCGTCCTCGTCATCCTCATCTCGAGATTGCTCAAAGTGCTACAAGCGCTCAAAAATACGGCGAACCAGTGTGGGAGTTCAGTGCCTGCAACATGCTCCGGTATCTGGTCCTTGGCAAACTGTTCAGAGCTTGCCGCCGAAGCCCAACCGAAAAGCACCAGCTGGCTTGGAGCATCTCAAGTACGGCTGCTACTTCCAGGTGGAGCAATATCCTAACGGTGGGGCATCCATTGTTCACCTGTATCAGCATGAAATCGATGCATTGCCGGCGGACGAAATGGAGGAGCTTGTGGACGAGTTTTTTGAGGTATGCTTTGCCGAGGACGAACAGGGCTACGCTCACCATGTAATGGGCATAGTCCACGATTCGGCCCGATATCTGCCCGACCTGCTCGAGCACATGGCGGAGAACTACTCAACGCTGACAGTTAAGGCCGGAGTTCTTGGACGGAACTCGGACATCGAGACGTGCACGATGTCGCAATACAATGAGCAAGTAAGCAAACATAACTAGTTTAAAAATCATTCTTGGATATATAATGTTTGTTCGTTCCTTTCTTTAGGTGGTTCGTAACTATTGCCAAGGAACCTTTCGATATGGGCCTTTGCATCAGATCAGTCTGGTTGGTAAAGTTCATGAAGAAGTGGGCGGTTACTTTCCGGATCTTTTGGGACGCATTGAAATGAATCCATTTTTGCGAAAGGTATTGTTACTAAGGTTTAACAAAAGGTGCAAGCCTGACTTTATATTTATTTTCCAGACCATGCCTTGGGCTTGTAATTCCATTCTCCAAACGGACCCACGTCAGTCGAACGATGGACCCATCCTCTGGATACGCGCTGGAGAACAGCTAGTGCCCACTGCAGAGCTGAATAGCAAGACTCCGCTTAAAAGACAGAGGTTAGTAGCCTTGTAAAAAATTTAATTATAAACATTAAATTCAAAATGTTGTATTCCAACTAGAACTCGCATCAATGAGCTGCGAAATCTTCAATATCTACCGCGCTTGTCGGAGGCCCGTGAGACCATGATCGAGGATCGAACCAAGGCGCATGCAGATCATGTAGGCCATGGCCACGAGCGCATCACCACCGCTGCAGTTGGTGAGCTGCCCCTGCTTAATAAGCTTCCTTGAAGTTGTCTAATCGTCTTTTCCTGTTATATTTTCTTTTTTCAGGCATACTAAAAGCTGTGCACTGTGGACAAGCGTACTCGCAGAATCGCATAACCAAGGACGTGGTTGCTTTTGCCGCCCAGGACTTCAACACAATGGTGGAAATGCTGCAGCTGGACCTGCACGAGCCCCCGATCTCGCAGTGTGTGCAGTGGATCGAGGACGCTAAACTGAATCAGCTACGTCGCGAAGGCGTCCGCTATGCTCGCATTCAACTATGCGACAACGATATATACTTCCTACCCCGCAACATTATCCACCAGTTTCGCACTGTGACGGCGGTGACGAGCATAGGTAAGATGAGATAAAGTTGCTGAAATCTAAAAATAATATTTTGCTTTCTACAGCTTGGCACCTGCGCTTACGACAGTATTATCCTGGTCAAGAGGTGATCAACGAGAAGAATAACCCTGTACTGGCCGAAACGCCACACTATAAGGAGAAGCAAACGATTTTGCCTAATCCAATTAGCCTCGATGAATGTGGCAAGAAGACGCCTTCAAAGCGGGCGCATGATGGCAGGACAAAGAAGAAACTTATTGACCTCGATGGCAAGGAGCGGCGATCTAGCGAGAGCAGCATTGACGATCAGCCACCTGCAGGAAGTGCCTCTCCAAATCAAAATCAGGAAAGCAACAGTAGCAGTCAGAGCAGCTCCAGTGGGGCTAGTACGCCCAAAAAAAAGAACAACAAGGATGACTCCAAAATTGATATGCGTAAAATGGTGCTGGAGCACACATATAAGCTGACCAAAGCGGCGGTTGTGGGAACTCCGGAAAAGGAAAAGCCCAAAAAGGATAAGGATAAGGAAAAGATTAGGGAGAAAGGTAGAGAAAAGGAAAAGGAACGAGACAAAGACAAGGAAAAAGAAAGGAGGAGTGAAGCAACGCCGAAGAAGCATACTGCACCAGCGAAGACTTCCTCCATAAGCGAGCCTTCGCCTGCTAAAATTCTCCGTTTAAGCAATGACACGGCTCAAAGTTCTCCATCTGTTGTTAACTCAGTTGCGTCTACACCTAAACCTATACTTACACCCATATCTGCTCCTGCACCACTGCCTGTTCCTACTCTTCCTGTTGCTGCTGCACCACCCATCTTGTCCGGACTGCCACCGCCACTTGTGCCTCAGACGCCATTCATTCATCGCCTCAACCAAAAGGAACCGGAGATAAAGATCCAAATGAAGATAGTGTCCGATTGCAAAAGTGATAACAGTACCTCCAGTTCGGTTTTATCGGCAGCAGCGCCACCACCGCCTCCGCCGCCACCGCCAGATCCAATTCAGGATGTCGCCAACGAGCTGATTGTGGAGAGCACTCCGCAACTGGTCGTGGATCACGAGGAGGAGGTGACCGAAGTGTGTGCGGAGGAGATTGTGGAGATGGACATACCGATTCCCAAGGAACCAACCCCAGCTGTTGCTTCGAATGCGTTTTTAACTTCTGCATCTCCTGCACCACCCACACCTGCTCCCCTTCCCATACCACTATCTGTGCTCCACCCACCACCGCTACCGCTGGCAGCTGCTCCACCTCCTCCACCACCCACTCAAATAGTAAAGGTGGTTCTCCCAGCCTCTTTGAATCCTCTCAACAGAATGTCAGTGGTTCTGCCACCCTTGCCGCCATTGCCGCCTTCACGGATAACAGCACCACCACCTCCACCTCCGCCGCCAAACACCAATAGTAGTGGCAACGTAGTGCCCATAGCGGCCACAGCATCCCCACTAAAACCCACCTACAAAACCATTAGTTTGCCCTCGCACAAGATCATAATCGCAGGGACAACGGGCGGAAATCGCGTCTCAATTGCAAAAGGGACGACCAAGAAAAATGTGGACCTGCTGGGGTCCATTATGGCCAGCATGGACAAGCCAGCGGGGAGTGGCTCCAATCTAAACTCCTCATCATCGACATCCTCGGCAACAACGAATAATTCGCTTTCCTCATACGCCAACTCCAACAACAGCTTCTGAAAATGGAAAACGGAATAGCAGGAGAGCGGAAGTAGAGGCTCCTATTTGGACTTTATGTGAAACTATATATTTTGTATATTAAGAAGCCTCTCGGAATTCCGTTTAACGGATTTCGAGAGCTTAAATCCTTTTCAGAAAGATCTCTAAACGCTGAAAGAGAATTGTGCACGTTAAAGTATCGCTTACTCACTACAAAATTATCATGGCAACAAGTTTTTAATTTGTATTTAGTGGCCCAAAAATATCCGTCGAGTATGACGTTATAATTTATATTGCATTAAAACAACTACTAAATAAGTTATAAGCGCTTTTCCAATCTATTTCAGTGACAAGAGATCTTTCTTTGTATATAGCCAAAAGCTAATATGTAGTCTTACACCTCACATACAAACACCCCTATATTTGATAACGAAACGTAGATTTGTAAGCTCAAAACGAGAGACACTTGATAGAGATGTAGTTTTTTAATTTATTTACACCACCAACCACACCGCAGCACTTTTTAGATACAACAATTGAACGTTTTTTAAATGCAGGCAGGTACATTTAACTGTTATAGTGTGTATTTTTTAATGGCACGCACGTTATTGGCCAGAGACAATTGTGCTCGTTAAAAGTATAACCTAAAAGCCGAAAGGCTTAGCAAAAGTCCCAGTTTAATTTCTTCTCAACAACTTTTTTGAAAAGTGTTTTGAAAGTGCGTAGAACAATACACACATTGATAATTACCATATACATATAAATATATATACACCATATATTACTGTAGAAATAAGCCAGCTTACACGTTGAAGAAACAATAAAGATTCGGATCGTACAAAAATACTCCAAAATGTTTTCAATCGAGTTAATATCGGCAGATAAAATACTCAAAAGTAAAAATTATCGGATTACAAGTATAACATTTTAATCTCTAGAAAATAATACAAAAATAATATAATTAACAGATCCAAGGCCACCAAGATATTGCAACTGGGAATGCAAAAAAAGATCCTTCGAGGTTCTTACAGCTTGGAGCGCAGCTCCTCAATCCTTCCTTGAGCGGATCGTTGCAGATCCATCAGTTTCATGGCAAAGCCCATGTTGCCCTGGATCTTGATCTTGCCCTGGAAGAAGGCCTTCTGCGGTGGCAACTTTCCAGTGAGCAGTTCGAAGACATCATCGTCGCTGATGATAAAGGTGACATCACATTTTTCTAAAGGAAGAAAATATTAATTAAGTACATATTTAATGTTTTTTTAAGGTATGCTTACGTGTTCCATTAAAGATGATCTTTCCCTTGCCCTGCTTGGCATCAATGACCCAGAATCCGGTCTGACCGTTGGGTCCATTGTTCACCTTAAAACCGTAAATGGCGCGGACCTTCTCGATCAGATTGTCCTTATCCTCCTGCATGGCTTGCTCCAGAATTTTCAGTAAGGGAGCCACCTTAAAGCCATCTTCGCTAGTCGCAGCCTTACCGGCAGCAGTAAGATTGCGCACTACATTATTAGCAGCAGGGAAACCCAGGCGGTACAGAGCCACCACCACAGCTCCTCCCAGTCCCAGGTTGTGCTGCAGAGCCAACTGGGCATTGGGTACTTGGCGCTTCTCCGCCAATCCACGGAGCTGCCAGCAGAGCTCAGCACATTGGGCCAGTCCAGTGGCTCCCAAAGGATGACCCTTGGAGATCAGACCACCACTGGGGTTGACCACGAACTTTCCACCGTAGGTATTGTCTCCGGCATCGATGAATTCGCCAGCCTTGCCTTCTCCGCACAGTCCAAGTGCTTCATAGGTTACCAACTCGTTGGCCGAGAAGCAATCGTGCAGCTCCACCACCTGGACATCCTGCGGCTTGTAACCGCTCTTGGCGAACAGACGCTGAGTAGCCAGGCGGGTCATGTCGGTTCCCGCAATCTTCATTAGGCTCTTGTCGGCGAAGGTGGAAGCCGGATCACTGGCCATCTCCATGCCCACAATCTCCACGGCCTGCTTCTCCAGTCCATGACGATGCACGAATGCCTCGGAGGCCAGGATGGCAGCTCCGGATCCATCGGATGTAGGACAGCACTGCAGTTTCGTCAAAACACCCTCCACAACCTGGGGCGACTTCATAATCTGCTCAAGGGTGTATTCATCGCGGAACTGCGAGTAGCTAAGCGGAGGCAATAAGTCTAAAGATTAGATTAGCCATTTTTGAAACACTTATGGTAAAATCTTACGGATTATTAACTGAGTGCTTGTGGTTTTTCCAGGCGATTTTGCCAAAGTGCTCAGGCTTGGTGCCATATTTCTTCATGTGCTCCTTGCCAGCGTTGCCAAAGATCTGTGCAGCCATGGGTCCAGCTCCGATCTCGGTCAGCTCACTCATCTCGCTGATGTGGCGCTCCATGGGATTGGCGCGGTCAAAGTACTTTGTGGGAAAACAAAAAGTTGGTCATAGAAGGCTTTTGTAAAAGTTTTTTTTATTTACTTTGGAGGACAGAGATCCACGTTCCATCTTCTCGAATCCCACCGCCAAAACACATTCCGCGTTTCCACTCTCGACGATCTGTTTGGCCAAGTAAAGAGCACTCGATCCTGTGGAGCAATTGTTGTTCACGTTGTAGACCGGAATGCCGGTCATTCCAACCTCGTAAATGGCTCGCTGCCCGCAGGTGGAGTCACCATAAACGTATCCAGCCACGGCCTGCTGCACTTCCTCGTACTTGATGCCCGCATCCTGGAGAGCTTTTGTAATGGCCTCCTTCGCGAAATCCGGATAGCACACATCAGCTCGGCGTCCGGGCTTCTCGAACTGCAGAATGTCAAATACGAAAAGTTTAAAAATAAAAGTTATTGGACAAGATTATGAGAGATTAGCATGGGCAACTCAAAATGCAGATTAAAATTTCAATTTTAATCTTGACACTTCAGGGGGCCAAAGGATCGATACTGATAGCCATTATAGTTATTATAACAATGATAATGAGTTGAGGCACAAACATTTGAGAGCAGATTAGCGTACGGAGTGCACCCAGTTCAAAGTCCGGTAATCGTTAAATATTGCTCAATATCGAAGTTACTTGCAAATAATAAAGCTGGTTTTTAAGTCTTTGTTTTGTTATTTTTATCTTTTTTTTTGTAGCCTGTGAAGATGTTAGTTAATTTTTGCGATACATACCTTGGTCATTCCAACACCGACAACATAAACACGGCTCTTCGTCATTTTGTAGCTGCAGAATATTAAATAAAAATCAGGTAATACCCCAACTAGTGCTCAAGTGCGATTAATTAAAATTTAGTTGGGGGCTAGAAGCTGCAGGTAGTGTGACCAAATTACAACAAGCTTCCAAATGTCAAAACACGAAAGGTGCGCCTGATTTAAAAAGATTGAAGCCCTGAAATATTTAAATAAAAGTTATAAATATGTGATTCCTGTTCTTCCCAGCAGATAATCAGAGAACCAAATTTTAATAAATACAAATACAAGCAAATTACAATTTATTTACCTTTGTATATTTGTCTTTGCATATTCATAATAATATGTTACAGTTTGAAAAGCATTGAGTTGAAAAAAATACTGTAACCCATAGCCATACAATTAGTGCTGCCCTTTAAAGCGGGATAAAAAATATAAACAAAAATGTATATTAGCAAAATACCAAGATTATTATTAGGCTTTAAAACTTAAACTTACAAAAACACAACAAAAAATATTTTTTAAAACTATCCTTTCAAAAATAATTAATTTGTTAAGTTTATAAAAACAAGCTAAGCAGACAGCTCTGTTGTTATCAATCCTTAGTATAAAAACCCGCAACCTGTTGATAGCACCTTAGTCGATGTAGAAAGTTCGATCCGTGATCCCGCAGAGTACAAACAGCCAGAAAATGACCAAGACCAGAGTTTACGTTATCGGAGTTGGCATGACCAAGGTTCGCTTGCAAGAGATTAACCTTTGTGCCGCCTTGGATTTTTTTATATCTAACCGATCTTCTTGTTCCCCATTTCCTGCAGTTCGAGAAGCCGGGACGCCGAGCTGACGTGTGCTACCCGGACTTCGCAAAGGAGGCCATTACCAAAGCTCTCCAGGATGCGGGCATCAAGTTCGAGGACGTGCAGCAGGCGGTGGCCGGCTACGTTTATGGTGATTCCACCTGCGGACAGCGGGCCATCTACGAAGTGGGAATGACCGGCATTCCGGTCTACAACGTGAACAATAACTGCTCCACAGGATCGAGTGCCCTTTACTTGGCCAAACAGATCGTCGAGAGCGGTAATTCCGACTGCGTCTTGGCTGTGGGATTCGAGAAGATGGAGCGTGGATCCCTGTCCTCAAAGGTACATCTTTTAAATTCCATTCAAACGTCTTAATAACCCATAACCTTATTCCCTATAGTACTTTGACCGCGCCAATCCCATGGAGCGGCACATTACCGAGATGGGAGAGCTGACCGAGATCGGAGCTGGACCTATGGCTGCCCAAATCTTTGGTAACGCTGGCAAGGAGCACATGCAAAAGTATGGCACAAAGCCCGAACACTTTGGCAAAATCGCCTGGAAGAACCACAAACACTCGGTTAACAATCCGTAAGTTAAGTCGAAAGTTCACCTCACTATTCGCTTATCTTATCGCTCAAAACCGAGGAATAAGTAGACCAATCCATACACCATCATCCACTCCAAAGCTGTATGCAGCTGATCCACACGCGAAGCTTTTATCTATTTCCATTTGTTGTTTTCAGCTACTCGCAGTTCCGCGATGAATACACCCTTGAGCAGATTATGAAGTCGCCCCAGGTTGTGGAGGGTGTTCTGACCAAGCTGCAGTGCTGTCCCACATCCGATGGATCCGGAGCTGCCATTCTGGCCTCCGAGGCATTCGTGCGACGTTATGGACTGGAGAAGCAGGCCGTGGAGATTGTGGGCATGGAGATGGCCAGTGATCCGGCTTCTACCTTTGCCGACAAGAGCCTCATGAAGATTGCGGGAACCGACATGACCCGTCTGGCTACTCAGCGTCTGTTCGCCAAGAGTGGTTACAAGCCGCAGGATGTCCAGGTGGTGGAGCTGCACGATTGCTTCTCAGCCAACGAGTTGGTTACTTATGAAGCACTTGGACTGTGCGGAGAAGGCAAGGCTGGCGAATTCATCGATGCCGGAGACAATACCTACGGTGGAAAGTTCGTGGTCAACCCCAGTGGTGGTCTGATCTCCAAGGGTCATCCTTTGGGAGCCACTGGACTGGCCCAGTGTGCTGAGCTCTGCTGGCAGCTCCGTGGATTGGCAGAGAAGCGCCAGGTGCCCAATGCCCAGTTGGCTCTGCAGCACAATCTGGGATTGGGAGGAGCTGTGGTGGTGGCTCTGTATCGCCTGGGTTTCCCGGGTGCTTCCAAGGCAAAGTTGTAAGAATGAGAACTGATAATTTGTATATGTTTTTAGTAAAAGTGAGCTGTTTTTTATGTAATTAACTACGATCTTTTATGTTTTCAAGGAAGGGTAAAAGTACAAAGTATTTATTTTTATTTATTATTTTATTCTTTTTAATTAAACATTGAAATCGATAGTCTAAAGAATAGCCTCATTTGCGTTTTAGCTTAGGTGCAGTTTTAGCTTTAGGCTTTCTCCTTCTACACAAACGGATTAATCCCATCAAGGTAATCACAGGGAGTAACAGGATTAAAGCAACCACTAAATAGACGTCCAGTGAGTAGTATACAAAGCGGGATAGATGTACAGCACGTGATTGGATCAAAGGAGCTCCCTTCGTCTCAGCCACGTGTTCCACCCACCAAATGGCAGTTTCCAAAGGATCCTGAATGCGATTATTATAGGCTGAAGCCACTTGCTTAGCTCTTTCCCTGAAAGAGGGATCTAGGGCCTTGGTTAAAGCTTCAAAGACAGTTTTTTCATCCAGTTTCTTGAACTCCAACTGCACGGCCATTCCTCTTTGAACCAAAGCAGCAATATTGAGAGACTGATCGCCATAAATGGGAACACCCACAATGGGCACTCCTTCGGAAACCGCCTCCGTGGTGCCCATTAATCCTCCATGGGACATAAACACCTTGAGATTTGGATGTGCCAGGATATCACGCTGAGGAAGCCACTTTCTGATGTGCACATTTTTAGGTTTATTCGGAAGTGTGTCGTTTTCATACTTCCAGATCACCTGCTGCTCCAATCTTCCGAAGGCGCGAACAATCCCATCTCGTCGAGCTGGTGGAAGGGAGCTGGCTTTCAGTTGAGATCCCCAGCTGAAGAGGATAACTCCCTTGGAAGCATTATCCATTATTTGTTGGAGATCAGAGGGTAGAGGTTTTGGTGGAGTTATGTGCACGCCACCGACTTCTATGATACTTGGTGGCAAAGGTTTTGCACCACTCAGTGAGAAGTGTTGATTGATCAGCATCAAGGAAGTGTTTCTGACCATGTCTTCCGTGGACGGCAATCCAGGTCCGAATCTCTGACGGATTAGAGCATTGGTAGCGGGAACCGTGAAGATTCTGCAGAAAAAGATAAACATCGTAAGATAATAGAAATAAATCTCACTGTGGGTTATACCACATAAAAAAGTCGTTAAACCAGTTGCTTTAATTTATGATGTTGCTGTTAACCTATTTATTAAATACTTTAAATGCCGAAAACGTTACTTACTTGTAGAGGAAATTAAGCGAGTGAACAGTAATCCAGTTGCCCAGTCTTCCCGCAAACGACATCTCCTGGGATTGTCCTTGGAATAAAGCGGATATGTAGGAAGGAATTAAAGGAGCTCCGAAACGCTCGTAGTGCCATGGCATCAGGGCACAACTACTCATGCCAACAACCGGAGCTTGGAGCACATGGGCCACACTCATCGCACAATCGGTATTGAATTGCTCCAAAAGGATGACATCGTAGTAACCAGGAGGATGTTTCAGGACATCGGATAAGGCTTGGCTGTGCAGTGTGATGTTGCAGTCCTCTTTTCCCTTGTTGTACAGCACAAAGTGCTCGATGTAGTGGAATAAGTAGTCAAAAGGGAGTTCGAAGTCCTGGCCAAAAAGTTATTTATAATTTAATGTAAAATGTTTAGATCATATTTAATAATATTGTTTCGAAAACCTTTGTGTACATTATTTTGTTTTCGAATTCGTTGATGTATTAAATAATATATTATTTTTCATCTAGGGGGTACTTTAAAATATTCTAAAGTTCATATTTTCTATAATAAAAAGTATACGACATATCACACGTTCATTTCGCGCTACTTGGAATTGCTTTGTAGACAACGAAAATTATTTTAAATAATCTTCATATAAGTATGTTATTATAACATTGTTTAAACGTACCTCCAAATGAATGGTATCTGTGAGTGTAGAGGGCGGCAGCAGATAATCCTTATAGCCTTGTGGTGGATCCTTGTCCTCAAAGGGACTGATGACATCCACATTGTGACCAGCCTTGGCCAATCCACGCATAATTGGGTGAAAGAACTTAAAGTGGCTCATGGCAGGGTGGGGAAATATGCCCAGGATTCGCAGAGACCCGGTGGAAACAACCAAAGAAAGAAGCGCCAGCAGGCTGAAACCCTTCCACACAAACATGATACTGGAAAACAATTAGGAAGGGTCAAGTTCAAGTTGAGTCAGCGTGACAAGCCCTTATAAAATCGATTTTCATGATTGTGTGAATTTAAACATTGTAACATTTGAAGGTGCGCGGAATGCTTTGCTAAAATTAACTTATAAATACTTTCGTCTTTCTTTTTTCACATGTAATTAGCAAACACAAAAAATAATCACCGGTGTGCGCCTTTCCCAGGGAGACAGATCCGGAACGGCCGAAAGATGAGCATCAACTGACACGGACGGGCACGAAAAGAGCTCGACAAGACGTACGAATATTTCTATAAAAAATATACACATCAACAAAAACTTATACGCACCGGAGCTAATCGTCTAGAGGGAACTTAAGAGTGATAGACCGGTTTTTAAGAGCTCCCATATCTTGAACCCTCTCTTTTTTCGCATATCAGCCAAAGACCTCAAAACTGATAACATTTTTGTTGATTTTTTCTGTTTGCTAATTTTGAGCACAGTTTTAAACAATATTTGGAACCCATTTATAAAGGGTTGTGTTCTGGCACTCAGGTGGGAATAATTAAAATCAAAATTTAACATACCATTATATTATATATCACTTGACCTACACATATTAAATTTATCAATTGCAAGCATTTATTTGCCCATCACATATTATAAAACATTGCTTAAATATTAATAACAAATCCCCTAAAATATGCAGCAAAATGTATAAAGGTTTTTAACATTCTACTCCATTATAAATTAAAAAGAATAATCGTAAATATTTTCAAAATAAAAACAACATTTGATTAAAGTGGGTAAATACCAATTGTTTTAAACATTATATTTAACTTGGCGTCACTAGACATCTAGATGAAGTCCTTGAGAGGAGGTGTTTTTACATTTAAAAGTTCTCTACACAGAACATATAAAATATCACATACAACCACGAAACGAAGATGTGCCGGGATGAGCCCAGCTAATCCCTCTTAGTCTTTTCAGCGGAACTGGATCCGCAGAAGCGTCGAATGAGCCACAACCAACTGCCAATGATACTGGCCAGGATTACGGCCACAAGGGCATAGCAGTCCAGGGAGTAGTAGGCAAAGCGGTTCATGTACACGGCACTTGGTTTTATGAGGGGAGCTCCACCCGTGTGGGCCACGTGTTCCACCCACCAAATAGCGGTTTGCAGAGCCTGCTGTGGGCGGTGGTGGAAGGAGTGGGAGACGACCTTGGCGGCATCGTGGTACCTAAAATTTATAAAAATAATTAGTTAATTAGGTACAATAAAATATCAGGAAATTAATATGTATTTACTTCTTGTCCAAAGCCTTTTTCAAAGCCCTCATCACCGTATTCTCGGCTATATCCTCATAGTTCAAGATGGTTCCCATTCCTCGATTCACCATGGCGGCAGAATTCACAAACTGATCGCCATACATGGGCGTGGCAACCACGGGAACTCCACAATAAGCCGCCTCCGAGGTGCCCATGAGTCCTCCATGCGACATGAAGACCTTTACATTGGGATGACAGAGGATATCGCGTTGCGGCAGCCACTTCATGATAATCATATTGGCCGGCTGATTGGGCAGAGTTTCGTTCTCCCACTTCCAGATAACCTTCTGCTTCAACCGAGCCACAGCCCTAACGATTCCATCCCTCTTGGCAGCCGAGAGGGAGTTGGCCCGTATCATGGAACCCCAACTGATCAGGATCACTCCCTCTTCGGCATTATCCAGAATACGCTGAAGATCAGCCGGTAAGGGATTGGATTTTTGGATGTGGATGCCGCCCAACTCGATCACATTGGGTGGCATTGGCTTGGGTCCCGAGAGCGAGTAGTGTTGGTTCACAAAGAACAGGGAGGTATTCTTCACCAGTTCTCCTACCGAAGGAACATCGTGACCGAATTTGTATTGAACCAAAGCATCGGCAGCGGGTACAGATAGTAATCTATTGGGAAATAATATTGATATAAAATTTAAATTATTATGTTTATAAGCAATTACTTACTTGTACATCCAGTTCATGGCATGGGTGCTGAACCAATTGGCCAATCGACCGCCGAAGTTCATGTCCTGCGACTGGGCCATGAAAAGCATGGGCACATGAGATGGAATCAAAGGAGCTCCCATTCTCTCATAATGCCAGGGCATCATCACACAGCTGCTTAAGGCGATCACCGGTGCCTGCAGCTGATGTGCCACGCCCATCATGCAGTCTGTATTAAATTGCTCCATTATGATGACATCAAAGTGTCCTGGTCGTCGCTTCAGGATCTGCTGCAGTGCCTCCGAACGGAGGGTCAAATTGCAGGCCTGTTTTCCCCACTCGTGAAGTAGGGAAAATTCCAAAAAGTGATTGTAGAATGTGCGTTTCTCAAAGAGCTAAAAAAGAACAAAGAATAATTAAATTAGTTATTTAATTTTATTTAGATTATTTAATAAAAAAATTAACTGAGTCATGAAAAAATATTGCAGTGTTCATGTATCCAACCTCAATTTTGTTTTGGGTACACATATAGTATTATTGGTCCGATTTGTATTTCCCTGATTTACGACTATTTTGACTGACTTCGTCGTTAGGCAATTGAATATTAACAATAGCTCAACATCCGACGTGGTTCCCCTTTTCACTCACCTTGAGATCCACACTGTTCGTGAGCTTTTCAATTCCGGTCAGTGGGTAATCCTTGTATCGGGCGACCGGATTCTTGTCCGGAAAGTGGGAAACCACACTCACGTCGTGTCCCACCTCCGCCAGACCCTTCATGATCGGGTGGAAGAAGTGGAAGTGACTGACTCCGGGATGGGGGAACAGACCCAGCACCTTCAGCGGGCCAGCGGCCTCCACCAACTCATCCGGTTGGCTGACAACCAGGGTCAGGAACAGTAAGGCAACCACCGGCGACCACATTTTGTACCCTGAAAAGAAAAACACTTTTACCAAGTCTAGAAAATGAATTCGTTAAACTTAAATATTCCTATTCAGAATGAAATAACCCAACAATTTACAGTTCGTATTTTGTTTGCTTTTAAAACCATTAAATACATTGAAAAAAATTAACACAAAAAAATAAAAATATAAATAAAGTATACACTCTACTTTCTATTTATTCGATCAATTTAATTGCTGTTAAAACTTTTGTATTTGTTTTTCACCATAATGTTTTTGCTTCCATCTCAATTTATTTAAAAACATACGATTCCCATGATTCAATTTTAAAATTCGATAAAAGTATTTGAGATACATTTTTTTTATTTAATTTGCTGATTCACGGGTGTGTTTAATTCGTTAGAAATCCTTCCTAAAACACATTATTTCCTCACTTTTCACTTGCACCATGTGCAGAAACACTTGTTGAATCTTTGACTTCTTGGTTTTGCAGTATTTTCAATTGACCTTGAGTGGGGCGGTGGGTGGCATTGCGCATGTCGCGAATGCGAGAAATGCAGGGAAATTATGTAAAGAATGCAGGCGAAGGCACCAAAGAAAATCGCAAGCACAACAAAAGCCACGGCAATTGCATCACAATGCCCACTGCACTCGGTTAACAAATTCACAATTATGGCCTTTTGGGGCCATTTTCTCCGAAATGCAATTGAACCGCTTGAACTGGATACACACACAAAATGCCCAAATGCCGAACCGTCAGTTTTGAACTTGAATCCTGTTTTTAAACGGCTCCCCACTCTTACTTACTTGTTCGACTGCCGACGAGCGACTGACTAAATTCAGTGAAATGCCGCCGAGTGGAAAGCTCTTCGGTCAACGCTCCACAAAGAGCTGCATCCAAGTCGCCACAGGCCGAAATTGCTCAGTCAGCGATCGGAAATCAATCTCCGTCTTCGGCGGTGCTGCTGATATAGCTTTTTTTATAGCTTTGATATTTTTAATATTTTATACATTTTTAATATATATATTATTTTAGATAATGAGTTTATAAAAATCACATTAATATTATCCTTTAAATTAGTTAGGTGATTCCTTGAATTTATTAAGAGCAAGATGACACAAAATTAACTGAGAAAACATTTCAGGTTGAGTCTGATAAGATTTATATTTTTTATTTTTAATTAAAGTTAGGATAGTTCAAATTGAATTTTCTTTTCCTCTCTTAGATGTAAGCTATTTTTTCTATTTGAAAGTAAAAAGTAGACAGTACCGATTTAATTTCTCAAAGCTTTTTCGGCCTCACGATCCGCTAGACTCTCACACAAAGAAAGCACTTGGGGGCTATTTTTTTAGAGAGTGGGGTTACGAAATTGAAAAAACGAGAGTGTAGAATGAAGTGCCCTTGTGCACGAGACCCAACTACCGGCAGTAGAAAGCCGACTGAACAAAAAAGCAACAGACGAGTCTGGCAAATGTTTATCACCCGCCGCTCACATGTTTTTCAAGGCGTCTCACTTGTTTACATTTAATTGATACGGGCTTATTTTCGGCGCTCCAAAACGATTACGGAAATTATTAGCGATCAGCATGCGTAATTTTTTTTTGGAACCTGAAAAATTGTCGATGCGTAACACGCACTCTTGGCATTATTTGCTTAGAACTACAAATTATTTATTTTTTAATGCAAGAATTGTTTGAAAGAGTGTTTAATAATCGAGAGGCTTTTAATGGCATTAGAAAATTACGTTGTTAATGACACTTTTGATTGAGCTGATTATAATAAATTAAAAAGTGAAAGCAATTCTCAGTATCAGTTTAGGTTTATTGAACTTTTCATTCACCGAAAGCTCCATTATGTAACTTTAATGATATACACAGATACAATTTAATTATGCATAGACCACACAGTTTTCAATGAATTAGTTAAACGATTGCATGTTTTCGTGACATTTTAATGGGGTTTTAAATTAATGGTGTTAGGATCAACCTTATTTGAAAGTCATTTCATAAGCTCTCTATTTACAAAATAATGAATGATATCAAAAATTAAATATGTTCTCTTGCATGCTTAGTTCATTGAACTAATTATTTATTGTTGTTTTGTTTTTGTTTGTCCCGAGATTTTTCCCCGACCAAAAGCGGACTTTGTCTTCTTAATGAGCTTCCAGAAGGCGACAATCAGCAGCCATACGATTCCCAGCCAGAACAGGTAAACATCGATCGAGTTGTAGACGATCCAGTTGATATGTCTGGCTTCATTTTGCATGTGGGGAGCTCCCCCGACTTAATCACATACTCGATCCACCAGATCGCTAATTCAAGAGGGGGGATGGGACGTTGACGAAAGGCTTCGGTGGAGCGGCGCACGTTCTCGGAAAATCTGTATTTAAATTATAAACAAATATTTAATAAAATTGTTTAACATGATTTTAAAGGAAGTTAAGAAAAATTCTAACAATCAACACACACTTATCAATTGCTTACCCCTTATCAAGTATTATTCGCAGTCCCTTGGTTATGTGATCCGTATCAAAATCACTGAAACTAACGATCACTCCGAAGCCCCTCTGTTTGATGGCGCCAGCATTTAGAAACTGATCCCCATAGAAGGGAGTCACCAGCATGGGAACACCACAATGAACCGCCTCCGTGGTTCCCAAAAGTCCTCCGTGGGATATAAAACTCTTCACCTTCGGATGACACAATAAATCTCTTTGAGGCAACCAATCAAAGGTATAAAGATTGGATGGCTTTTCATTATCCAGAATCTTTTCACTCTTCCAACGCATCACAAAGTTGTACTCCTTCAGCTGGGAAATACTTTGGAAAAGGGCATCTCTTTTGGCTGAAGGTAGTGTATTAGCATTGACCATTGATCCCCAACTTATATAAATGATTCCATTGGGGGACCGATCTAAGAGCTCTAAAAGATGCTGAGAAAAAAAGAATATAATGATTATAAGATATATTTAAAAGATAACGGATAGCTAGGGAAAAACAATACTGCGTGTCTGGATATATAAATGATTTATATATAGACCTACGTAGACGCAAAGTCTACGATTTAAAAATACGTTGAAAGCTTTTTCTTTTACGCATTTGTTTTATAACGAAACTTGCCTCAATATGTTGACCTAAATAATGGAACATTTGTCAATCTCATTTAAATGTCGTTAAAATCATCATTAAAAATGTTGTCTTTGTTTTAATTCATTGCGAATTTTGGATTAAAAACTTGATAATCTGCAGACTAATGGAATTAATTTGGAGTCACTGCCTCTTACATCGTGATTTACAGTTTGTGAGTTTGGGATTCACATATTTATATATACCAAATGTAAACAAGATTTTGGATTTTGCAAACCTTATCCACCGGTTTTGTGACGTCTGTTTTTATTTATTTAATGATTAAAAACGGCTGTACTTTTTGATAAAGTGTTCAGTGACCGGCAAACACAGACAACTTAATAAAGCGTTTTGAAATGTTCCCATAAATGCAAGTCAAGATTGATCACCTTAAAGAATGGTTGGTTATTATTTTTCAGATTTCCTCTTGGCGTTTAAATTAATTATACTGCAATATGGTTAGCAACTCACTTTTGGCAGCGGTTTTAGGGGGTCCCACTTGCAACCCGCCCACTTCCACGACATTTGGGGCATAGGGGCGTGGACCGGTTAAGGCATAATACTGATTGATCAGCATCAGACTGGTGTTCTTTACGATCTCATTGATCGAGGGCAGTCCGGGTCCGAATCTCTGAGCAATCAGCGCATCGGTGGCTGGTTGGGTAATCAAACTTTTCAAGGAAAAACAAAGACGATAAGAGGCATTTCGAAGGCCATATACATTTAATACCCACTTGTACAGAGTATTGACGGTGTGAAAGTGAAAGAAATTATTTATTCGATCAATGGGACCCATTTCATCTGTGTAGGGCAGGAAGTTCATGGGCATGATGGGGTTAATGAACGGACTGCCCATTCGCTTATAATGCCACGGCATTATCGCACAGCTACTCAGAGCGATAACAGGTGCGTTCAGCAGGTGAGCCACCGATGCCATGCAGTCGTTGGAGAAGTGCTCCAGCAAGATGACGTCGTATCGAATGGGAGACTCCAGTATCTGGGCGATAAGAGGGGAGTTCAATGCCACCTTACAGGATCGCAGACCCCAATCGTGGAGCATAAAGTAGGTGGGTATCTTGAAGGGCAGACCAAAAGGTTTCCATTCCCTTTCAAAGTTCTAAAAAAAAATATATAAATATGTATATAATTTGTATCTCTATTTATTTTGTATTATTACCTTTAAATCAACTACATCTGTGAGTAATGGAATTCCCTCGAAGACGTAATCCGTGTAGTTTGGTTTTGGTTTCTCCAGTGGAAAATAGCTATACACGCTGACGTTGTGACCCCTTTCCGCCAAGGCCAAGAAAATTGGTCTAAAGAAGTCAAAGTGACTCTTGCCGGGGTGCTGGAACAAGCCCAGAATTTGAGCCGCTTCATTGGGTTTAGGTCGCAATGAAAAAGCCAGCAAAAACAGAGGTAGCAGCAGCATCGCAAACCTTTTAACATAATTAAAACGACACAAAAATGGAACTATGATACACAATTTTAAAAATTGGCCAACTGCAACACAAATTGTTCTGGGGTCTGCACAAAGATCAAAGTTAACTCGGAAAACAAAAGGTTGCCTTTGCTCTTTGTTGTTTCAGATACTTTTGTATCTACATATATGCAGCGTTTGGCTTAAACACTTTTATCTCAGAATCTAATAAAATCGTGACCGGAATTTAACCTGCAATTGTCTTTTGAAAAGACCTTTTAGCTACGGAATTTTTTAGTTTTTCTTACAAAGCTGTGACCATTAAAAGGTGTCCACCCAATTTAATAATTATTGGCTTTGGCTGGAAACTTAATTTAGCAATTTTTGAATCGCATTTGTGGATTAGTTGTTGGCAGGGCGAGTTTTTGCTCACTGACATTTTAATAGATTTAAATGGTTATCTTAACAATTATATTCTTGGAACATTTATTCTTTTTAGGTCAGGTATTTTATTTTTTTTAACAGTGAATAGTTTTTTTCAGCAATTTTTTTAATATTGTGTTCCGTTTGTTAACCCCTGTCTTTTTTTTTTTTTGTTTTTGAAGGGGAACATTTTAAATTACTGGCAGTATTTTTTGTCACCTCTTGAGTTCCTTTAAAATTACAAAATGCAACTTGTCACAGCCACGATCTGCGATCGACTGAAAGCCAAGGTAATAGCGGCTCAGAGCCAACTTGGCTTAAAGCAATTGCAGTGAGTTGCAAACTGCCCTGTTGTGTTTTCTTTATTCTAACCGAGACAGACTTTTCCGATATATACAAACGCTCAACTCAGACAATCCGACACACACTCCCCGCAAGTCATGAGCAATTTGCGGTAGCCCATTAGATTGCCAAATCAAAATTGCATATGCGAAGGGGAAGCAATCTATACCTTAAGAGGGCCGACTGAATATTTTTTTTCATTAATATTTTTTTTTTTTTGTGCAGGTTTGTGCATCTTACGAGCTAGAAGATGGAAACGAGATTTAAAAGTAAAGTAAAAAATAAGAGAAAAATAAGTAGTAACTAGTTTTGTGCTTAAAATATAAGTGTTAATCACCTTAGGAGCGTCAGAGAGAAAATATTAGAGAATACTGAATATAGTTGATTATAGTCAGAACACAATACCGTGAGGGGCACGTGTTAGTTTTAATTCGATCTATAATGATTTAATAATTAATTCCACTATTTACCATTAAATGTATGTGAGATCTCCCTTCCACTTAAACTTTATCTATTACAATTTCTTTACTACAGTGAACTTTACTTAAGTTTATTTTTCACCTATCTGACGGCAAAGTTTTCCATTGAATGCCCAGACAAAACCCAGAATCTCACACCCTTTTTTCCGCAAGAAAGAGGACATAGCGATTGATTGGCGGTAACAAATGTATTAGAAACTTTCTCTGTATAATTTCCGCATTTGCAAAGAGAAACGGACACGGGTATATGGGTACTTCACTTCAAATTGCACTTCCGTGCGAAAAATTGTTTATCGAAAACTTTCGTTTCGATTTTCAGCCACCTTTTTTAGCCAGCAACCCTGGAGTTTCGTTTTCAGACAGTCTGAATGGAACGACGTTCGCTGAAAAATCCCCCTTTCAGCCCCGCCCCTTTTTCGCAGTGGCGTGTCGATAAAGTTTGCACCTATTGTCATTTTATTGATTTGTTATAAATTTCACACACTACACACACGCTTATCTTTTCATGCGCTTCTATTAAATGTAAATGACTGGAAAATGCCGCATGCCACGCCCTCAATTTGAAATGGACACGTGGACAACCCTTTTTATTTGGCCAGCTTATCTGCGAATTTTCAATAAGATTTCCTATCATTTTAAATTCGATTTTATGGCCAGCTCGAAATAAATGACCGGGTAAGAGAGTGGGAAAAGTGGGAAAGTCAAAAGCTTAAATGTCTGAACGTTAAAATAAATTGATACCGGGCGAATTCCTATTCAGCTAAGAGTTTTTCAAGTGCGATTTTCCCGCCCGCTCCCCTGATGCTTATCAATTTGGCAACACCTTGAGGAAAATTGGCGGGGGGAGTGGAAACAGCTGCGGATGCTGCCCGGAAAAATTGTGAACGTCTCGAGTTTTCCTCTTCCATTCACACTTGATTTGATAATCTGTCGTAAATTCTAACTTTTCACTTGTGTGAAACGCTCACAATTAAGTCACACTTTTAATGACGTGACGCCAATATTAAAACGGAACACTTCCTTGGAAAAGCCCAACCCCCTCGCCGAGATTTTCCACCCCCTCTTGCAGCTGTTGACAGCGTCCAGTGGCTGACTTTGTTTTTGTTGTGACTGCTGCGCTAATTAGGCGAGACGTGAAAATTTTTGCTTATTATTTTCCCTAAATTTTAACGACCTTCCTTCAAACGGAAGTTGAACCGAGCCCATTCGGCAGATATTTTATACGGTGCAACATTTTGAAATTAGTATCTCAGAAGTTACGGTTATTGTCAAAGTGAATTTTAATTAGCGAACTCCAAGTACTGAGTGTGAAAATCAACTGACGAGGTCCGGAATAAACAGAGCATGTCGAATCTGCGACGACTTTTCGAGTTTAAAGGCTTGTCCTTTAGTTAATTAAGTTTGCCCCAGATTGTAATTAACAAAATGTTTGAAATCTACTTTTAAAGTTATTTTACTTCTTGTAAAAGAATGTTAAATTAAATTATGTAAAAATTATTATACCTGACATTTGTTTAGCAGCATGACTAATAATTTTTAACTGCAGTGTAGGAGAAACACCTGAAAGTATGCTAATAAAAAGTTTCCTAAGAACCTAATAAAATCGGACAATATTTTCAGTTTTAATTATTCCAGTGACTGTTTCATATGTGTTAAAATTAAATGTTAAATACAGAATTAGTTTTACCTACTAATATTCACAGAGAATATTTTTATTCATTGACTTCATTGTGATTTTCATACTCGATTACTTAAATTTTCCTTAAGATTGTTAACAATTTTTAATGATCCAAAACGGTTCTTTGAGTATTAAGTATAAACCACCATCTGAGTTAATGCCTTCAAATTATCTAATCACCACTTTAATTGCTCTAATCACATGTCTTATCAGATTAAAATTTACTTATCATCGATGGCATGAATAATAGACTGCTAAATCCAATAACCTTATCAGAAGAAACTATCTTACAAGTTCACGCACAAATTGAAGGCGTGAACATTGCGTGCTTGGTTGTCTTCTCTTCATCCAAAGTTTATAAGACTTTTCCTCCCCAAGTTTTCCCCATTTCCATGTTTTCCAGGGGTTTACCTAGCTTACCCATCTCCACTTCACAGGTGTCTTTAATTGACAGGCCAAACTATTTATTGCCATGTCACGTGATCTATAAACCTGACGCCAACCGAAGACAGCCCCTGAATTTTCCGCCCACCTTCAGTATTTTACCTGTGATTTAAGCCGCTTACTAAGACATTTTCGAGTAAGTCGCGTCTTCGTGCCCTTTCGAATAAATCGATTAACAAACAAAGTTGGAGAAGCCGAGCCCCACGGAATATGTGTGCTGTAGCTATTTCCGTGACAGTAATCAATTTATTTTTGGCAGTGCGCCGATTGCGTTTCCGCTCCAAGAACATGGACGAACCTGAAGTCTGCAATTTTCCCACCACTCTCCCCTTCCGCCGTTTTTCGCTGCGGAAAACTCTCTCTTGTCTGCTTCGGAAAACGTTTCATTTCGTTTTGGCTTTTGGCACAGCGATTTCCGCACAAATGTCGATAAATCATCAGAACGAAATAGTCAGAAGGAAAAGCGGAGAAAGAGCGTTGCACAGGGAAAATTAATTAGAAACGCAACAAAATATTAAATGGATCCAATGAAAACACACGTATTTAATCTTTATTTAACAGTAAATGTACCTATATTAAAACGATTTTAAAATAATACGAAAATTAATATAAATTATTCTGAAATTAACTATATAGTTATTACTTATACTTATATGTACCTACCAATTATTTTTCTCAGTTTATACCACGAATAAAAAGAGTTTGGGTGGTAAATTCCTGGCTGTTGGCGTGATAGATAAGTTGACAGCCGCATTGAAGGGTTATCGTAGAAGCTGTCTCTTAATCAATCTTCCTGCTTTGGCGTCTTCATCGCCTTGGCAATTAATTAATTTGCAACAAAGCTGAGGACACGTGACCAGGACACGGCATATTAAAGGATCCAAGAAAAGGATGATGCTGAAATGGTATTTTCCTATGTATATACTACTTAGTTTCTTAAAAAATATTATGGATACAAGAGCGCCAAGATGCTGCCCATTTTGAAGCAACGGGAAGTCCTTTTAGGGTCAAGTGCTGGAATTGATGTTTCGTTTATGATTTATCGTCACTTACTGCCGCGTCATGGGCAATCCTCCCAGTCTCCCAGTCTTCCAGTCCCCTCTCCCTTCTCCCCTCCTCCCCCTTTTCATAGCCCCACCCCCTGCTAATGGTCGACATATTGCAAAAACAGAAGCGAAAACTAAATTAGACATAATAGCTGGCTTGAGGGGTTGGTGAGTAGGTCGTTTCAGATAAGTCGTCATGCTGTCATAATCATCACAAGACAGAATCCATCCATCGCCCATTTTGCAACGCCCACAAGTAACCCTCTGACCCCCCGAACCCCCCTTCAGACCCCCCGTCCCCCTTCAAACCTCCAATGGAACTCCCTTTTCCTCACGACTGAAATTTACTGATGTAATAACCATGTTTTCAGCTTGTAATGCGGCAGGGCCACAAAAACACTTTTGGCGGGGGGTGAAAGTCAAGTTCCCATGGCAAGGGGGTGGTGAAAATTTCATGAGGAGGAGGAGGGTGTAATAAGGGGCAGAGCTGGGGGGAGGGGGGTTCAAGGGTTGAGGGTTGCCTTTTGTTCTGGGCGCAATTTTTGAATTGTTTTTGAAGTAAAATGTGTGATAATTTAATGACTGTCGACGCATCGCTCACAAGGACACACACCCACAGTATCTGGATAGCCACAGCCACCCACCCCTTATATATATATATTATATAACTCAATCCTCACTGAACGTTTAATTTAGTGGAATAATAAAAATGTTTTTGGGGCATAAAAATCTGTGGCTGGCGATGATTTGTGCACTTTCGATGTAACAGATTGTCTTTTAATGCCTTCGATTCAACCAACTGTGCTAACCGAAAATCTCTGATGTCACAGGGTGGGAATTATGAGATCTGGAATTGTGGCTTCTCATTTAATCAGCCTGGCAACAGTTTAGTCATCATGATTTGATAACCATTTTCCAGCTCAACTAGTTTAACAGTCAGCTGATCTGCTCAGCACATGTTTAGTATATCCGATCTGAAACACGTTAGTTGTTTACGTTTACATTTGCATATCAGTCCAGTTATTTGCATAAATTATTGGGCCAGAACACTCGAGTGCTTTTCGCCTTTCTTCCTCTTATTTAAGGGACAGGTGGTTATATTATTCTCCAAAGGGAGGAGGTGCCTTTGCATATAATACTAATTAAGTCACTTTGAGTGAGATTACAGATATTTCCAGTTTGTTGCGGAACTTGTGCATAACTTAGGCAGTATTAAGCTGGCGTGTGTAATTCCGGAAAGTTTTGTCTCGTTTGGGGAATGTGCTAAATTTAAGGAAAGGGAAATTTTTTTTATAGACCTTTGAAGCTGGAATTCTTCTTCTAAATGAATTTATGTTTATTTAAAATAATTTCCCAATATATTTCGTAAATATGTAACGTGGTTTTATATAACTTTATTAAATATTATCCAAAGTTTTGACCTAGTTTATATTTCCGTCTTTTTAAAGTAGGTTAAGCCTTTCCTAACCACTTTCGCTATAAGGTGAAAAATGATTAACTTTCTTTGGAAAACACCTTTTCTTCCATTGATTTTTTACGCACTATGCCTGTCTTTTGGAGACGCCTTCAAGACCTGCAAAAGCCAACGAAGATTTATGCAAATCCCGGCGAGCAAATGTTAAAACGTTAAAGCTTTTGATTCGGTGCTAATGTGAAAATATGGCGCCCGTGTGGAAAAAAACCGAATATAAAATGTGCAAAAATCGCCGAGGCACATTTGCATATGACAAAGTGAGGCAGACAGCCGCAAACAATGAAAAATGACGACGACGAATGCTCGCAGGCTTAGTTGGGGTAATTTAATTTGGCAAAATAAAAAAGACATTTCGCAATAAATAAATTTCGCCCCCGGATCCAGCACGTGACTGCTGCGATTTATGAAACTCGATTAATTTGTGGAAATTTTTATAAATGAATTTATTGCATTTATGTTGTGTGACAAATAATCGCCATCATAGTTATATTTTTCTCCTCCAGTTCGGTCTCTCCAGTGGCTATGGAAATCCCCCTACGATTTCTAGCAGAAGTGCAGGTTATTGAACTGCTCCCGATTATTGGTGATCATCTGGTTGTATTTGAAGGCCGCCGAGTTCTGGGAGCTGCTCTGAACCGTAAGTCTGGTATTTCGCAGGAAACTATCCGCCGGACTGCTGGATACGGCGTACTTTCCGCCGGATCCTTCCACGGTCCTCATGGGACTCAGGTGCTTGGCGGGAATGGCCTTGCTGGGCGTACGGACTTGGTGAACCATTTTCAAGGATTTCTTTTGAGTTTCAACAGGAGCTAAGGTGAGCTTGGTGGATTGGGGGATTCAGGGCACACTGGAGAGACGCGTTAGCACGGAGAATTCCAGACAATTGCCGCAGTTACTAGTGCGAGAGCCGCCTTTCTTAGAAGACAGGTGTTTAGAAAGACTGCAAATAAAAAAATAAAAAAAGAATACATAAGTTAAAGGTTTTTAAAAAAAGATAGGCATCATAAGATTTTCATAAAATAAACCACCAAAATTATTTGAGAATTTGTAATATAAGTTTCACCTTATATAAGGTCGTTATCTTTTATTAGTTGTATAGATTTTAATGCCACTCATTAAATATTTCAGAATATACAAATTAACAAAAAAATATTCAAATGAGTTTAAAATTTCCGTGGTTTTTTAAAAGCCTTACTTTAAAAATTCCATAGTTTTTTTCACATCCTTACCTTATATTATTCAGCAGCTTGGCTTTGGTGTCCGGTGTCTTCATTGACACATTTGTTTATGCACGTTGGGGAAAATATTTTGTAAAATCTCTGTTTAGGTATCGCCTTGTAGGCCTTCACACTTTAGTCTGTTGGATTTCGAACCCATAGAGCTGCTTTTATATCGGAAAGCCCCCTAGATTTTGTTGATCTCATCACGCGCTGAAAGCGTGATAAAGTTAAACTAGTTTTTCGGTGGCTGTGATGCAAAATCATCGGCGCAGACTTGTGCCAAATTTCTTGTTTACGCCACTCGAGGAGTACGTCAATGAAGCCACGCGGTCCTTCATTAATGGCCCAAAACGGTAAACATTTCGGTCAGACGGGTAAACAAACCCAAACAACAAACAATTAAAATAAACAAATAAGGAAGGGGATTTTTTTGGTGCCAAAAATGGCAGGTTGTTTTTCTAAGGATCTGATAAACATGCTTCTCAAAGGCATCATGCCAAGTGTTCAATTTCAAACACTCCGCACTTTATATAAATTCTTAGCCGGACAGTTTTTTAGGACCCAACTCTCTCTATACTATATACTTATTTTTTTCTTTCTTTGTTGTGTGTCTGGGCCACGTTTTTTTAATTATTGAACCATGTGTCTGGCGCATTATGCAAATAACGCAGTCTCAACGGAATATTGGCAGACATATAAATTGGCAATATAATACAATGCAAAATTTGGCATTTAAAACGCCGGGTTAGACGTTCAAAGTTGAGTTTGGTATTTATCTGGATTGTGGAATCGAGTTTTGGGGAAATACCTCTAGAGTCTAGAAGAAGCGCATAGAAGTTAGAGGGGTCCTGGATGTCAATAAACTAATTAAATTGTTTTTGTCCGTTTTTTTTTTTTATAATTGAACACTTTTGGGAATATAATAAGAAGCGAAGTTGTTTAGAGAAAATAAAAAAAAATATCAAAATTTATTTAACTTGTTTTGGGAATCCTTAAAATCAATAAACTTTTTAAAATGTTTAGCATGTAATATTAATTTGTATAATAATTTATTTAAGTAAGGGTGGCACCCTTTTTTATCTGTACTTCAGCATTATTCAGATCGGCTAACTATACATCTGAAAAGAAAAAATTAAAATACTATAAATCCGCAACAGGCTTTCGAGTTGTTTTCTTGATCGAATTGGCTGATGCAATGCAACCAAGACTTTTCATCAGCCATCGGTTCATGAATAACACGCTATATCAGTAGTGATCAGACGATCTAAATATTCATTATAGACCCATATAGACAGGTTTTTAAAAACATTTATTTTTTATAGGAATACCAGGATTTCAAAGGAATTGTGCGTTAGTAAATATCCCCATTTAGGGGAAGTTTTTGGTGACGTGTCAAAAAAACTACCGGCCGGCAACTCTAAACAATATCATAAAGATTATGTTTGTGGAGAGCAGACAAAGAAAAAAACTACGTGATAAATAGCAGGTTCGGTTGGGGTGGTTATAATACCCATTAATTGCGAGGTTGGTTTGGTTTATCAATTAAGATAAGTTATTGAGCTAAGAAAACTTAACTTGATGGGAAAGAATTTAAAGAAGTTCGAGCTTCAAAACAGTATAAATACTTAGCTAATAAAGTAAAAATGTTTGTACTTTTAAATGATTTTTTAAAACTTTAGTGGTATTTAAAATTCGATTCTTTTTATTTGGCGAAGTTGTTTGCAAAGTTTTCGCTGATAAACCAGTTGCCTGCTTGATCGCTTAAATTTGCATTGTGGTCTTTTGGAACGGGTTAGCCTCAGACCGAAGTTGAGTTTGAGGTCACCCGGGGGGGTGAAGTGGTGCGGGGGCGAGGGTGGTTTCTGGCGTTTTGGCAGTGCCTGCAGCTGCGATACTAACGATGTTTACTCGTAGAACGATGACGCAGCTCCTCCGCCAGACATTGCACTCGAATCGACGGATCGGTTCAGATCGGATCGGATCATATCGGAACGATACGGAGCAGATCGGCGTATTTAAACCAGTTGTGCAAAGCGCCAAAGATTCAGTAGAAAGTCCAGAGCAGAGCAGATCGGTGCTGAGCTGTACGGAGCGTGAGCTGTGAAATTCCCTTTCTTTCCTATCCAATGTGCAAGTTGCAAAAGTTTTGTGTCAATGCCAAAAATTAGCCACACGGATTCTAAACAGAAATTGTTGAAGCAAGCAAGGTGGGTAAAAATAACACAACAATTCCTTTAAGTTGAAAAAAATATTGGTTTCAATTTCTTGAAATACGTATTATTTAATTCGAAATGCTATTTATTTTTAAACCCTTTTTTAATCTTATTTCTTATAGATTGGGCAAACATTTGTCATCGAAAAAAGGATCACGCACTGGAAACTCCGCCAACAATAAGGAACTAAAAGTACTCACCCTTTTGCAAACTGTACCGTGAACTTTGACCTCTCTACGAACGCATTGGAAGCGCAGCTTTATTAAATCGGCAGAAAATTTCACTTATTCAAAAGGAAACACAAGGAAAATCTAAAGACAAAATGGTCTACACCGAACGTACGGACAAGTGCCTGAGCAGCACCACCAAGGATAACCATTCCTCGAAGAGCCAGAGTAATTCCAAGTCGAATAGTGGCTCGGGATCGGGATCGGGTTCCGGATCGGGATCAGGATCCTGGAGCAGTCAGGCCTCGAGTGCTGAAAAGTGGAAGTACAACAACATGGTGAACAACGATCGCCAGCAGTTCAATGGCATGCATTTCTCCTAAATCGGAGGAATAATTCCCAAATGGAAATGGGGAAGCTGATGATTGTTGTTGCTACTTCTATTTGGTTTGGCTGGGTTCGTTTTAGATTAGTTTTGTAAGCACTTTTATGGACTTAAGTATTGCTATGTGATACGGAACAAGAAAAAATAATACTCCAATTGGTTAAAACAAATTAAATCAGAAAAAAGATGCGCAAAAAAAAAACTGAAATCCATTTATTTGAAGTTTGGGAGATCTTCAACAAAAGTCTTCTTTACGGAAATTTGAAATTCAGAGCCTTCTAGAAATTTTTGTAACTTCCAAAGCATGAAATTTTGATGGATTTTGCATGAGCCACCCAACCCCCGATAACCATTCAATATCCCTTGCCATTTGACCTTGCCACTTGACTTGACTTGACTGATACCCAACGCATATTTTATTGTCTGCAGCATTTGCATGAATTGCGGCTATTAGCGTGATTAAGCCAACTTCTGGATTGGGCCACGGACAACCCTCGATGAATCCGGACGGAGTGCACTTAATACGCATTAGCCACGCTTATTTGACAGCCTCAATCTGCCGAGCGATTCCTGCAATATTGATGATGTCTGGCCATCCCCATTTTCCGTTCCGATTTCCCCGCACTTTTCCGCCGACGCGTGTCCTTTCGCCGAGAACAAGTGTATCTCCCAGAGCAGCCGCAAAAGGACGACGTCCGGTTTTCGTTACGAGGATTCGTTCGACTGTATTTCTCGGAAAGTGCGAAATTTTTATAATTTTTCAATTGTGTTGTTTGCCCGAAATGGGAAGTATTCATTCGGTGACGGGAGTGAGAAGGATGCTGCGGTTGTCCTTCGGTCGTGACACACGACTGAGCAGGGGACTCGAGCTTCACAGGACACGTGGCACATGGCTATTAGGAAAAGCGATTTCCTTGACGGTGCTAATAGAATTCTAGCACTCTCCGCAAATCCCAACCCTGCGTTTAAGAATAAATGTTGTGGCGTTTTCGGGTTTCCTTTTTCCGGGAGGCAGCTGTCAATGTCCTTTAAAAAAAAAAAGTAATCAGAAAAAAATGTGAAAGTTTCAAAAACATTTTTATTTCATTTATTTATATTTTATATTCAATTTAATGTAATTCAAATTCGAACTTTACGGTTTCTACTTCATCTCGGTCCTTAAATCTTTTTTCTATTAATAAGTATCTTTTCAACTCTATTTGTTTTCCAGTGTATGCTATCTAGATGAAGCCAGCTCTCTGATTTCCACCCACTCAACCCATTTCGCTCGGCTCCTGTCTCTCCTGAACCTTGTAATTACTTTGTTTCCTAGCGCCAGGCGGTCCTCAGCACCCAAAAGATTCCTTGTCACTTTTGGTGTTGTGCGATGCAATTAAAACCGCTCCGCAGGTGTCCTTTGAACTTTGTCACGACTACAAACTGTGTCTCAATATTTGCTCGTTGGTGTGGAATGTGTCAGTTGCAAGGCTTCCGAAACGGGACAACGCTCTCTGATTTAACAGACAGAAGCAATTATCACGTCATTATCAAGGAAAACCCACAAAAATCTGTTGGTGTTTTGATTTTTGTTTTAGGTCTCAATAAGTTATTGCTTGGCATTCGGTATTCACTGTACAAAATATCAATTATATTATTATTTTGACATGTTAATTGATGTATCTATAAGTATTTGTAACTTTACCACGTGCCATTGATCCTTTAAGCAACTCCCTTTTGATGGTCAAGACAGATTAAAGACTATATTATCAGCTGAAAACAGATTTCCGTTGAAGGACAACCCTCCTCACCTTAGAGCCCTCCCTCCACTCATTTTACTGACGGCATATGTCACAATGGCACGTTGGAAAATTATGAATAATATCCGTAACTTCTGCCGAGACACACACGCCCGAAACGCCGTGAAATATTCCCGAGCAGCTTGCGTTGAATAAGCGAAAGAGGGGCGGCCATGCCCACACTTCAATTTCAATTTCAAACCCAATCCCGGCCAACGCCTCTGAAAATTGTGAACTCCGAAATCTGGCAAGTAAAGTAAAATTTGTTTGGGGCGTGCCGTCAGATACAACTTCCGATGACATCCGACAGATGTTTTGCAGCCAACAGGATAACCGGGGTTCGAAGTACTTTGCACAGGAGTTGCGCCCGCTTGCAAAACAATTGTCGGCACATTTTCACATTTCTTGTCGCGGATGTCTCCGCCAGCAGCAGTTGAAATATGTATGGTACAGAGAGTCGAATCAGATGCGAATTACATTTGAATGTTGTATCGTACGATGATAATGTACGGGCGTTGACATCTCCGCAAAGGTGTTTTGGCTTCCTGTTTGGCACATGGCAATGTCATCGCCAAATGGCAGACACACACAAGCGATTCCAGTTCGGTGGCAAGGTGTGACTCATTGGAAATTGATTGCCCAGAGGATGGGGAATCCGACAGATTTTACACGATATTCGATCATATTCAGCTGGTAGGTTGATGGGGGCAGATACAAAGTGGATAAGTGAATCATACATGGGTAATGTTGAAGGAAAGATACTTCAAGCGTTATTTCCTTTTTTGTATTTCACCTCTGACTCGAGAACTGTATCATAAAAATAAAAAAAAAATCTGCCAAAAAAGGATACACATTTATATAAAAAATTATTGGAAATTTAGTGTCTCCTTCACTGCTTCGCAAACTTCTGACCGAAATTATTATACCCTCTGTTCAATATTTCCTAGTTTCCGATGGACTCGAATCTGTAAACCCAACTCAAGTTAATTAATTTTACATCTAAGTCTTCTTATCATATAATTATCCTTTCCATTGTAATCCCATCAAAATTGATTTACTTCTGTCAATAGCAAACATCTTTATAAGTCCACGGATTAGCATAAATTCCAAAACATATATCATATCATATCACATAACTTATCGTAAACTTATGCAAATTGACTAATCAAATACAGATTTGCAGGAGAATATAATTTACAAAATATGCCAAACATTACCTCTGACAAAAGGTGGCAATTACACATAAAAACAGAGAACCTGAACTCGTTTCAATCGCAGAGGGAGAACTTCTGGATTCTGAATCAAAAGCAACCACCTCGTTGCCCCCTCTTTTTCCCATTGTTGCGGATATACGAATATATATTTTTCAGCCGCCATTTCTGATCGACAGCTGTCATGAATGACAATTGGATTGCAGCAGCAGCAGAAATTGTGAAGCCGCTGCCTCTGTTCCATTCCTGCATCCAATTGAGATCCTTATAAAATATGCAATAAAAATATGAGACCCCGTAATGATTGCCAGTATTTATAGATTTCGAGAATTTCTGCGGCTGCTGCTGCGGCGAGGTCATCAAAACGAAAACAACCAAATCGACATGGAAATTGAAACAATGGCAAGGCGAGTAGCAATCAATGCTCCAGGGGCGTGGAGAGGAGGGGTTTTTCGAATGGGGTGGGGGTCTAACCCCAGAGTGGAGTGGCTCGAACCGAACAGAAGTGAACCAAAGTGGAGTGGTTCTCGAGTAAAACGCAGAAATGCGGTTGCTTTTTTGTGTGTCGTTTCGGGATAATTTGAGAGTGGGTAAAACCACTGGGATGGGTGTTTAAGCTAAGGGATTTACAGTTGATTAACAAAAATTATTTTACCTTTATAATACAATAATACCCAAGCAAAATAAACTATACTTTAAAGAATTTTAGAGAATCAAAATGATTGTTTAATTTATCAACCTGAATCTTTGCTTATCATTCTTAAAAATTGCTTTTATCTCTCCAGCTTAATGTACTTTCATTTTGTAACTATAGTAAATATTCTGTGACTGCTTTTACAAAGCTCCTTAGAGCATTCCCCCCTCAAAGTGCCATATTTAGCATGTTTTCATACGCACAACCGCATGTGGGAAAGGTTAAGGGAATGGAAATCCCGAACAGAGTGCAAAACCTTTAAATGCAATTATGGCCTGTGGCTCATGTGAGCTCAAGTGCGGAGAGGTCGTCTCAAAACGCCAATGATATGCTCTCGAGTGTCTTTTGTTGTGGCTGAAATACATAAGCAGGGCAACTCCCTCTTCCTTAAAAAACACCCCACACCACCCCCTTGACATCCCTTTTCCGCCAGTTTCCTCCTTTATTTTGCAGCCTGCTTTAAATCGAGCGCGCCAAAAAAAAAAAAAAAAAAACCTGGCTGAGCTTTCCATTCGCTAATCGGGTGGTGCAGATGGGTGGGATTCTTCCACAGAGTGTGTGTGTGTGTGTGTGAGTATCTGTGAGTGCCTTTACATATGCGTAAGTGTGTGCGGCATATGCAACGCTCCACAATCGCATCATTTTGAGCAATTAAGTGTGTATTATCCATCGCTGCGTCTGTCAAAGGACCTCGAAAGCAACTTCAAAAACCGAATCCAGTTGCTCCTGTTCCTGTTCCGCCACCGGAAGTACATTGAATGTGCCGCTGTGTGAGTGTATGTATCGGTATATGCTGCACTCGGAAAAAAACTTAATATAGCTTGTGGTCTATTCTAAATATTATAGGTATGTTTGTAAGTATTTTAGATTTTCTGAAATATCTAATTGAAAATTTAAGGACATTTTGATTTTTTTAATGTTTGGATTTTTTTTTTCAACTACCGAAATATTTTATTTACAGTGCACCTCTAGCTCTCCCCCTTCTTTTTCGAAATCCGCGCTTTTCATGCGCAAATTGTGCATTTAAGTCGACAATGGCGAGCCAACAAAAGCAACGGAATGGGATGCGGAATACTCGTTATATGGGATATGGAACATAGGATATAGGATACGCTGTGTAGTCCTGGTCGGGATGCAGCAGAGCAGAGAGCAGAGCACTGCAGAGTCCTCATTGTAATGCCTACTTTTACTTTTGTTCGCAGAGCAACTAACTGAAGGCGGTCGGGAGGCGTTTTGCTGTCAAGTCTGCCAGTTGGAAACCCCTCCGATGAATGGTAGGGAAAAGTGCTGTATGGTATTATAAGGATTCCTGCAATTTGATGACTTATATTGTACAAGAAAATCGAAGGGAAAACACATATAATTTACCCGAAATACGTTTTTAAACTCTGAGTTAAATGTAGTTTCATTTTTTAAACAGCTTTTAGCAATTGGATTACACAAAGAAACATCTGAAAATATAATATATATATTTTCTGCTGACCATCAGGAATGTTGTTTTCCACATTTCTTTATCCCCAAA